CCTGACTGGTGCGGGTTGCAGCTCTGCACGGTATCGCGCATGCCGCCCCTAGCTCTCGTCGGACGCGCATCCGTATCGGCCCGGCGACGCCTCCTCTGTCGGCGGAGATTCCGCACGCATGAAGCCACGAGTGACGACGCCGGCTTCCTCTGATGCGGGACCGAGTGGTGACGATGGGGCGCCTGACAACCGCTGCTCGGCGTGCCGCCCCCTGCAGGAGCCCGGGGAGACGGCACCAGGCCCACTGTCTGCCAACACATGGGCCTGTTTACGCCCCGCGTCATCGGCACGGCCGGGGACGTCAGCGGGCCCAATGGCGGCGCCGGCGGCTGCTGACGGGCCGGCACCAGAGCCCTCGGCGCCAGCCGAGAGTGGGCCTCTGTCCACCGCCCGCCGCCGGCTGGTGCTGCGCACCAGCTCGCGCGGCTGGACGAAACGCCCGCCAATTGCACACGCTGTTCAAAAGCATTGTCCGGAGAGGCAGGTCCAGACGAGGCGCCGTGGTGTCGGCGACATCATGCCGGTGACAGAACCAAACACACCGCCGCCGTCACTGGCCGACGGCCAGGATAGTGAAGGCTTTTCGCGGTCCAGATGGTCGCGTCCGGCTAGTGGAAATATAAACATAGCACAAGCAGCGACGAAAGTGCACGCAAAGTGGTGCCCCTTCCCCCCAACTATCCCCTCTAATGCACTCGGAAGGGAGGAAATGTCGCTTCTGATAGCATTACCCGCGAGTTACGACGCGCGCGGCATCATGGAACTTAATGTTTTCTTGCGCATTGTGAAAAATGCCCGGGTTAGTTGACTCGTTCTCTTCGTGTCGTTCTTGATCGAAACTGTGTGGTTTATCTGGTGTTAAAAGTGAATAGACGTATATGTGATGTTTTTCTCAGCTGTTGTTTTAATATTCTAGTTCGAAAACTCCTTTGGATACACTAACTTGTTTCCCACCGTATGGTTTCGCAACATTAGCGCAACAGTGTCTACACAGCGAGCAACGAGCTACATTACAATCTACGAACCAATGGTTACAGAGCATGCGAGCCAGAAGGCTCGCCATTCAGCTATAAGGTTGCAATAAAAGATCAACGAAGAGCATAGCTGAAAATCAATTCCACGATGTGCAACTAAGGCAGTCCATGTTTAACTCCATTTGGTGTTTCGCCACGTTCCATGACAAGGTCGGATCCTGCGGGGGATGCATTGCTGATTCCACAATCCTGACGGCTTGAGCAGAAACGAAACAAAACAATGCAAAAACGGGGCAGTGGACCAACACATGGCACAAAAATTCCCTGACACCCCAATAGGCTTGCGGCATCTCTTTAGGGTAAGCTGTCCGTTCGGGCCAATCGAGGCGAAACCACGCTTTTGTGGCTTTGCCATCGTCGGCAGAGCAAAGCTGACACAAGTCACAGCATGCCACTTCTTACTTCAATGTGGTGTCAGGTCATCATTTAAGGCTATTCCATGACATTTTATGCCTTTGATCTGGGATATGGGTGATGCCCACTGGGATCCTGACGTGCAGCGGTGGTGTTCATATCTCATGAAATGTCTTTCAACACTGCTTTGGCGATCACGAAAACATGGTTTCCCACGACCTGATCTTGAATGGGTTTTCTTACATCACCACTCACATGTTGCAGTCCCCCTGGTTGATGTTTTTCGAGCTAAAGGTTAAGTTGACGCAGCCTTCATGCTTTGACCTAGCGTAATGACGTCCTAAAACTGCTTCTAAAACTGAACTATTACGAGCACCGATGACTGGAAATGATGCTATTCCCTTGCACATTTTAAACTTCTAGGCAGAAAAGCCGGGCGTACACAGCGTCAAAGGAGCGCACGTTTCCCACCTCTTGGGATAGCTGTGTAAGGTATCAAAAGAACATAATCAAAAGTTATCACAATACACCACACAGGCAGGGACGGTGTTTCCGAACCTTAACAGTTAAATTTTCCCCTGGGGATGGATCCAATTATGATTCCTCACAAAAATCAACCACCAACACTGAATTCGCGTAAGTCATGGATATTCTCACCTCTTTTCTGAACAAAATCGTGGAAGCAGCTGGTGGGTTCAGAGCAGCGCTCTAAACAGGGCCTGTATTCTAACACCACATAACGTATGAGTGAAATGACCTCTCACTATAGCGCTGTTTCTGAACACCCCATGTTCGTGTGAACAAAAAAACCGTGTTTTTGGCTAATGTAGCAAATACTTTCGGCCCACCACATGTGCGCCATGACAGTACATGTGGCAATATTTCATCCTAGCTCTATCGCCTCATGTCCTCCTTTGTACAGGCGCCACCTGCTGACGCTGTCTTAATGGTTATCGTTCTTGACCCAGACGTGATTTGGCCACGTCGCAGACCGCCCGCCGTTAAGACTCTCGTGTTCCCTCTTTGTGAAAATTCTCCCTTAGTTGGCGACGCTCGGGCTCGCAGAAGCCTTCCAAAATGGCACGATGTTGGCTGGCAAACACCCGGTCCTTGAGGTGGCTACCGATACCGAAATTGACTGGAGTGGGGTTCTGTGAGCTGGAATACATGGTGTGGCCGTCTTGTGGCTGATGTGCTCCAAGAAGTAAGCTTGCAGCAATGACGTAGCCGGGGGAGGGGCACTGGGGCTATGTCCCCCTGAGTTTAGGGGTTTGCACTAGGTGCCTGACAGTTTTGAATGTAAGCGCTCTAAATTCGTGGGATTTCAATTTTCGTAGGAGTTCAGAAAAGCCTGCCCTTCACCGCTCCTCCCTCCGTCATAGCTACGTGCGCCCGTAGCAAGCGTAGCATTGCAGGCCCACTCGGCTGCAGCCAGCCGAGCGAGCCCTGGGCGGTGCGCGACGCTACACCGCCTTGCTGCTGCCATTCCGCACCACGACGGAGGCCACGTCTTAGACCGGGCTCTGTCCGGAGGACCTCCACGCGTCGTTCGTGCAGAGGTCGTGGTGGTTGATGGTGACGAGCTTGCCCTGTGCATCTTTGACGACGGCTACAGTCGTTCCCGTATCGGTCGGGTGAACGTCAACAAATCTCGCACAACAAAGGAGCCGGCGGTCGTGATCGTCCGTGAGGCGGGCTGCGACGCGACCCAGATGGTGGATGGCAGCAGCACCCATCTCAGGAGGTCCACCTCACCATCTCCCTGCAGATCAGACGTGCATCTGGAGTAACTTCGTTAAGAAGCTGCTGCGATACAGTTTCATGGCCGATGGTCGATGGTGCTGATGATTGTCCTATGCTAACTTACGCAAAGTTAAATGATGCTTGAAAATTAATAACGTGCTATTCAATCAAGAAGCTATACCAAAAAGTCTGAGCATACTGTATTCGGAAACAGCCTGCTGATCAAGCAATCAATGCACCCGACCGGCTGTTTTACTGAGCCACAAGCTTGTTTCCATAGCCGTCCATGAAAAGGTGCGTGATCTCATCAATTTTTCTGCAACGTTCTTCTTGAATTTCGCCAGGCTTAGAATTCTTAGTAAAACGGTGTGCGTGTAAACGAACGTTTAGAATTTAGAATGTTTCTTTTTAGAATTAGAATGTCCCTTCTTAGAATGTTTCTATGTTAGCTCGGTGTACATATGCCCCTTTTCATTGGGAAGTTGTGCTGTGAGTCGCGGCAATCACACGTCGGTCCGTTGTTTTAAATTCTTCTATACCTTTAAACAAAGCAGAGCATACCTCCACTAGACCTCGTCCGAACAAGGCAATAGTATTATGCCCTGTATTTTAAATGATTTTTATAGGTGATTCGTACTATGGACGCATACCTTCAACAAACGGTTCTTCCTACGTGGCAAGATAATTATACCCGACGCGCAAGGCGATTTTGCACAAATTGTTTTTGCCGTAAACGCCTGGGACATCTGATGCCAATCGTGTTGGTACAGCTACATCATCACCTGATGACGATCACCATGGTCAAACCTCTGGAACAGCTCTTCTGCAGACCAAGTGGCCTATCTGAGGCGTCCGTAAGATTTTTACCAGTTGTTTTACCGCACCAGGAACGCTCCGTCGCGACAAGGAGAAAGGTGGCAGTAATTCCGGTGGCAGTAAGGCCCTGAAATTGTCATCAGTTGACTACCAGCGCGTAATCTCCACCTCAGGAGTCCTGTTCACTACTTCAGGACTAGTGCTCGTCAACCAGATGGTTGCGGCCGGTGGGCCTGGACGTTGGCACTACCGCGTTGGCAGTTCAGGTCCGATCGGAAGCATCGGTGGCGGTACTCCGCTGATGCCGACCCGGAACTGATAGAAAGAGGAACACGTCCTCGAGCGTGGGGCGGCCTATTTAGCGCAAGCAGGCTGTCAGGAGACAAGGAGATATCAGGGCCGACAATCATTGGCTGGCAGGTTGATAAATCACCAGGGTGGACGGATCCTGGCCTCTATGCCGGCCGGTCCTCTGCGGCTGCGCTGCGCTACAGTCGGAGTTCAGTCGGAGTCAAGTTGGATTTCAGTCGGAGTTGAGTCGGAGTTGAGTCGGGGTTAAGTTGAAGTTGAGTTGGAGTTGAGTCGGAGTTGAGTCGGAGTTGAGTTGAAGTTGAGTTGGAGTTGAATCGAAGTTGGCATTGAGCCGGAGCAGTCGGAGCATACCGCTGACCTCCAGACAGGCACCGCGCATTTAGCACCCTCGTGACCGCTCCAGCAGCCACAACAGGGACCACACCCATCAGCCACATGCCTGTCTGAGCTCTTAGAGCTAGGAGTGGGCTGTTTGAAAATTGCTCTGGGCGAGACCTGCCGAGGAGCTCGGTTGACGTCCCGTGACTGGGCCCGCGTAACACAGGCTGGCAGTTGGCTCGCCCTGACATGCAGCTGTATGAACGTCTGCCACGAACACCGCTGTCCCAGCCGGTGGCGCGCGGCCGGCGGCGAACCTCAGCCGCCGGCCGACGCGGCACCAGACGCCCGACCACAACCGAGCCCCACTGATCCGGGTCACACCCGGGGGGAGCCAGCGGAACGGCCAGCCGCCACACCTACCTCTGACGCGCTGTGCTCTGGAGACGGCGGCGAGCGTCAGCAGCCAGGCCACGCTGGCAGATCTGCCGCAGAAAAGAACACATCAGGGACTTCAGAGCTGGCGGTTGTCACCAGTGTCGCGGACCGCAGGGAAGCCCGCTTTGCTAGCATCGGTCGCGCAGTGATGTCACGAAGAGTAAGTTGCTGGAAGTCGTCAAACACCAACCATCCAGTGGCCATTTACAATGATTATCAGTGTGCGGTTGACTGGAGCCATTGGGACGCGTTGAGTCATGCTCAATAAGTTCTTATGTTTTTTTTTTGCCTGCAGATTCTGCAAAGTTATTGCCGCTGATGATGCAGGTTGCTTAGGCCAAAGATAGGGCTGTATGGATGTATAATTATGCTAGAGAAGATGCATTCAATGGCATTCAAGTTGCAACTACTCGCGAACACATAGTTCAAAAACATTACGGCCCGCCACACCGCGTGAAAAGGAAATCGGTTGCCGACGACAAACCGATGCAAGTGGCGTAGTGCCATCCGAAAATGTTCCGTCATGCATCTTAAGCTATTGGGTTTTTGGCATCACCTTCGTAGTGGTTTTGGATATTTGTTTTCATGGGCCCACTCTAGCTTGGTTGTAACCTTAATTTCACGTCATGAAATGCTTATTGTTCTTTTATGTGACAAGCATTTGGTGCAAATTTGCAGATAGATCACTCACCAGTCCAACCTGGCATAGCACACCAGTAGGAACTCCACATAATTTGATGCAAAGCCATGTTCATGTGACATACATGTAGAAAGCAAAACTAAATCCAAACAGTGCAACAGTATTGTAAAAAAAAAACATTTTGGTCAGCTAAGCTCTTGCCTGTCTGTGGCTTTTCAGCTCGAAGACGATAGGCTCCAAGCCGTCTAATCATTCATTCAGTTATTGGTGACTTGAAAGTGTTTATCTTTCACAGCTTCTCGGCAAAAGTTTTCCTGTCAGCCCTTGCTGCATGATCATGCTATGTCTTAACGAAACAACGTCTACCTAGTTTACTTATTGCTGCGTGGTGCGTGCATGCTGCGCTTTGGTCAGTTCCTTCCAGTGGGTTTTTATGAATCAGTGCAGGATCTATGGTTGGAGCAGGAGAGTGCGGAGCCGGGCCTGCAGCTGCTGGAGGAGAGTGGTCCTTCCAGGGTCCACCGCTGCTGAGGAGCGTGCAGATCGATCTGATCAGCAGCTATTGGGCGAGGGAGGTGCGGTTTCCAGATTTCTTGCTAAAAAATGTACAGTGGCGGCAGAAGTTGTTCTGTTGCGTCCGATCGAAATTGAGGGCAGGATATTTTTGTTGATCTTCGTCCACACCTGTGATGATATTTAATGCTTGGGGCAGAGATATGTAGACGTGGCAGACATGGCAGAGATATGTAGCTTCGTTTCGGAGGGGCATCTAGGCATCTAACATCCGTATATGGCGAGTCCTCCACAGCAGCACATACTGCGTCTCATCAAGCACAAGTCCTCATTACTATGGCGTGCGCCATCGCAGAGCTGCTTCTCATGGCCTGCTCCAGGAAAGACTACCATTTCGCTCAGCCCCAAGGCTGGAGCTGAAGTTGCGAGCCGTGCTTGACAGCCCGCCGCTGGGGCCTCAGCGGTACCCGATCCAGAGGCTGCCAACGGAGAGCTCTTCTCGCGCACTGCGCCCGACGCGGCCGCCTTTGAACGCGCGGCTATAAACAGCGACTCAGGTCCTCACCACCGCGTTATTATCTGGCATAAACTTTACACAGGTACGGCGATGGCTGGTGGGGACGCCGGCCGCGCCTGCTGCATAAATAAACACTCAGTGACATTGTGGAAACGAATTATAAATGTTGGGTGTGCGCTCCCGCTTTCCCTCCCTCCGTCCACCGATCCCCCGTGGCTTCTCGGCCAGTGTGGGGGGAGGGGGGGGGGGGGGCGGGGTTCGGGTTTGCCGCATCACTTCAGGCCTTCAGGCGCCTTCGATTCCCACGACGGCCTTCCTTCCCAGCGCAGAAGCTACCGGCCATCACTAACCAGGTCGTCCAATAATCAGGTGATCTTCTTCTGTTTTCTGAACACAGAGGTGGCCGAATCCATCCACCGTTTCACTGCACAATGGCTGTCGTCTTTCGCTTCAGCTGATGGCACAAAGACCATCTGCTTTCCTACGCTTTCCTCGCCAAGGCGGTCGACCCTCAACATGGTTTTCCGGATCCTCGCACAGATATGTCGGCTCTCTACGGCTTCCTGGCACAGAAACCATTGGATCTCACTTATGGGTCTACGTCTCGGAACCCAGCAACTCTCCTTACGGCCTCTGGACACAGGGCTACCGACTCCACCGGTGGCATTCCGCCACAGGGCGGACTGATCCTCCGCGCGACCTCCCAGCACAGACGTGGGCTCCTGCCAGAGCCATCCAATACAGATGTGAGCCCCACCCGAACCTCCCAGCACAGACGCGGGCTCCTACCACGGCCTCCCAGCACAGACGTGGGGTCCTACCAGAGCCTCCAAGCATAGATGTGAGCTCTACCCGAGCCTCCCAGCATAGATGTGACCTCCACCCGAGCTTCCCAGCACAGACGTGAACTCCTACCAGAGCCTCCCAGCACAGGCGTGAGCTCCTACCAGGGCCTCTCAGCACAGACGCAGGCTACAGGCTACAGACGCCAGAGCTTCCCAGCACAGACGTGGGTTCCTACCAGAGCCTCCCAGCATAGCACCCCAATACCGCTCGAGGTGAACGGAACAAACACACTGTGCATGGGTTGGCACCTAAACAATTCCTTCTGGGTCAGAGCAACAGTGAGACGCACAAGCAAACTTATTATGTCGTCTCACAGGCCCAATACAGGCCGGTGTTTTGGTGAAAGTTTGTGAGTCATGACCCTCGAAAATGCATTTATCAATGCACATAAACGTAGGTTACCAGACACCGGATCATGCTTCCAACGGGCCGACGCCGTCATCGACACTTTTCCAAAGTTAGTAAGCTTAGCAGCATGAACTTTTAATTTAATTCTAATATACTCCTGTTTTAAAAAAAAAAATCCACCATATTGCATGCGATGCAACAAAACTACGATGAAGCGGTCTGGACGGATGGCGCCGCGTTCACTGATTATGCTCCTTTTAACAAAGTTGCATTCCCTTTGAACCCGGGCTTGGCCAGTCAGATCAAACCTTGGTAAAAGCGTCTAGCCAAAGTAGGCGATCAGACATCGCCCCCATCGCATCACAAAGCCCTGCTTTGTTTGCCTTATACCAAGTACATTACGTAATCGCTGATTCGATGCGGAAAAACGGGACAAATCGTGAGGTGCCGGTATGACAGCAGTTGAGGGAAATTGTAGCCCCTTTCAGCGCACCACCCACCGTGCAGACCTTTCGTAATGACGTTACAATAATGTGACCTGATCCGACCCAACATGAAACGTTTTCTGCCCTCCACCTGTGTCAAAACAGTGAAACCGAATTCAAGTCATGTCTGTTGACGCTCCCGCGGACGCTTCGAGAATCGCTGAGAAAAATGGAACGGCACGGCATTTGCCGCGACCCCAACGCAGGCGGTCGCGGCAAAGAGCTATCTCGCAAAAAGCGACTTTTGCAAATGATGCAGTTTCCTACTGTATCAACCAATGAGTTTTGCTTCATATGTCTTGATTATGCTGCAGTCATATTTCATATGACTTCTCCTATCAAGTGTTTTTCTAATGAATGCAATGCAGTTTAGTCAAATTGATCGGCATGTATGTTTGTTAGGTGCGCTAGTTAACCACGTCTAAGTAATGTGACTTCCAGCCAAACCTTTTTCAGGTTGATGAGTTTGGTTTTTCAGGGGCGTATATGCCACCTTTTGCTGTTTTTACACATAGATAGACCAGACGTCTCAGAATCCTTCTACGTAGCTAAGAATTTTAATTGGGGGTAGCCGTTCCTGCGGGTGAAACGACATTGGTCTCCCTGCTTACCGCCATGAAAATAACACTTTCCATTTGCTTTGCATTTCCTAACACGTGTACTATGCAATGCTCGCATTATGCCTACTGGGCAAAATGCCTGCGCAAAAAATAGTATGGGAGTTCAAAATGTTTTATGCAAGGAAAAACACATTGAAAGAAAGCGTCTTTATCACGCGAATGAAACGAAATATCATTCCAAGGCTTTGATTTTGCCCCATGACTTAAATATAGAAAAGCTTTCCACAGCTTTTTGGTTTTGTCAAACTTGGATGCTCAGGCTTGTTGCAAGGCTGTGTTTAAAAGCGGCTACATGTCGAAAGCATATCACGCGGTCTAATGACGCACATGTTCCAACTACCACCAATGCACTTCTCGCTTAATGGCTTACGCTACCCGCTGTGCCAATCACAAACATTAATTTCAACTGACTTCATTCATATCCATAAAAGGCGGAGCACATTTTTCTACCTTTATCTTTTATATTATATCTTAGCATCTATTGTCTAAAATATTCTGTATTCATATCTATGACATCCAAATTATTATCTATATATGTATGACATTTCTCTACTATGCCCACTGTCCACCTACTTTTAAATAAATCCCCCTGAAATTTCCGTGCACCGTTACGAAGGCTACAATGAATATCTCGCTTGAGTGTCCTCTTTGCGCCGAGAACGCCCATTCTAAAAAGGAGGACCTGGGCTGGAAAAAAAATTGCCGAAACGTCGACCGCATAGCATGGATTCAAAGACAGTAACAAAGTATTTTGCATATCATTCATTGTTGGTGCTCCAGTGCCAGTCCCCAAAGATATTATTAGGTATAGATGGCTTTTAAGTTTTACCCAGAGCATGCGTTCGAAACATACCTCAAAAATGACGCTTTCCCTTTAACGAAATCGGAACCGCTTTGAGTGGGTGACGGTAAAACTGTCAACCACGAGGAGGGGTATCATTTATAGTGCAATCAGAGGGCTAACGATAAGTGATAGTAAGACCAACTATTCCGCGAAGGCATCATGCACTAGTCGCAATGAGTCGCATTCCATCTCTTACAACAGTTTTATCGTAACGCGTCTCTAAAGTTTTGCGCG